TTTTATTACACACACACATATTATATAGATATGTGAATAAATAAATAAAATATAAAAGTTCAAGTAATACCTAGAAGAAATTAGATGCAAATAATTTAAAAACTCCTTTTTTTTCCCAATTTCTTCATTTGTTACAGCACCAAAGAACCAGTTGGCAGCAAAAACCATTAATAATACAAAAAATAAATCATAATGAATCCAACTAGTAATTAGAAAAATAATATCTCTGATCAATAACATTTCAATTAAAACATTGATTCTCCTTTGCATTTATGTACAATTTATAAGCAATTACCACATGCTTATTACAGTAATTTGTATATTATGTTTTCATCACACACACTTAAGCAACCACTTGTCCAATCCTGCATTGTACATGTATCCTACCTGCTTCAGCAGGACGATTGGTAATCAGGACAGGGTCATCACAGTTACTGGCCAATGATAAACGACTCTGGCCATCACGAATCATGTCAATACTGGCTGAGAAATGGACTTCTCTTTCTTGATCTTCGAATTTAAAAAAGATATGTATACCACAAGAGATAAGGTGAATGGTGGAAGTGAAAGTTGATGATGACGATATGTTTGAGTTTCAAAATAACATACAAAGAAACAAATTATGAAACTATTCAAATCATGAGCTAATAATTAATATTTTTTGTAAAACTAAATTTGTATTAATCTTCAAGTAATAACAATAACTTGGAAATAGTGTATTTTCTTGATACTTTTGTACTTAGATTAACTGTGAAAAGTGTTACGTTATAAAATAAAGCTTTTAAATAGTAAAAACAGAAAACATGTTCTCTGAATTAAATTTCTTTTAGTACAATATACAAATCACAGTTGTTATAACAAAACAAATGCATAATAAGAAACTACTTTAACCAGGAGGGTTTCCACTAACTAACATTAAATAAAATTGATTCAAAATATACTTAAAGCCACTCGTGTTACTATGATACAATAAAAGATCATTTTTTGAGGTGTCACGAAAGATTGTTTCTATCTCATACTAACAAAGTTTACTGTTCTCCTCCCTTTCATGTGGGTGTAACTATCATATGTTGTGTAAAAAATAAATATGATTATAAATATGTTAGTTAACTGAAAGCAGCTTAATTCAATTAGAAAAAAAAAGGTTATTTTATAATGCCAGGACTTACAGTAGAGTTGTTAGTAAACTGATCTTAAAATCTCTTTTTTATGCTGGAATGCCAAGCAAATATTAGTTGTAATGTTAGGATTTCACCACCACCACCACCACAGATGCACTTCAGATACCATCACCATCTTGTGACATCAAAATGTTGCATTAGTCAAAGTTCGATAACTGATGCAGTTAGTAATTTTTTTCCTCTTCAATACAAGCCTTTAAAATATTCTTAGTAAAACAATTTCATGCTTCAAAAGAGGTTAGACAAATGGTTGCTTATTATTTTCTGGATTACATTGCAGAAGAAATCAGAAGGTTAATAGCATGCTATTAAATGGTTAAATAGTATGAATTTCGAGAGAGCTCTAAGGTAATAATTAAATAAGATATACTATAAAAGTGAAGTTGGAAACACACAATGATATTGCTGCAATGTGCAGTTAAACATTTCTTAATAAAACTGTTAACATTTAAACATCTGTTAATAAAACTGCTAACATTTACACAGTTTTAACTACCTAACAGGGTAGCTCAACAACAAAATATACTTTACAAAATACAGTTTTCTCATCATCCAGTAGTTAAGACAGTGATGTTAACTCACTTGAGGCATTCATATAACACAAAGAATGAGAGAAAAACATTTCATTCAAGAAACAAACCATATTATATACCTATGCACTATCCTATAGGAATCTCTAAAGAAGAAAACTAAACAATGCTTCCACAGTTTTGAAAATTTCAATCCAAAAGCCAAGCATAATTTCCTGGTTTTAATACCGTCACACACAAAATAACAATTATGATTTTAGAAAACATACCTCCCCCAACTGTCAAGCTGTTCAGTTCTGTGGCTAGCTCATTAACTTGGTGTGATGATGGACCTGAAGAGATGAGTTGTGCTCGAGAACCTCTTGGTTTCTGTCCTGGAATCTTTACTGTGACATGCATCAGAGGAATTTCTTTACCATGAACATTATCCATGTAGTCCTGAAAATTATTAATTATATATATATAAATAAACACACACATTATTTGAAATAATTATGGACACAGTGAAGAAAAAGAGTATTTAAGGCAAATATTACTGGATGTCACCCCTTTTATAGAGTAAAAATCAGAGTACAGTCACGTGTTGACATTTTATAATGATTGGCTGTTATCCAACCAATTAGAAAGTGCCACACCAGTATAAAGTAGTTAAACTATGCTCAGGTCAGCAGTAGTGTTTCCAGTCATGGCTCACAGGACTGAAATACCATAAAACAAGAATGTACAAATCAAATTTTTAACTGTGTCAAGGATACTCTATCTAAAACAATTGTGACAAACTCCATGTTCTATTAGGAGCTGTATACAAGACTGAAGAGGGCACATGAAACAAGTACTATTAATAATACTATTATTATGTCTGTTGCATCCCAGTTAGCCTGGTGAGCTCCAATATTGAGAAAATAGCCTTGTTAACATTGGATATGGTGGTTTACATGTTATGAAATACTTTGCTTTGCTTTCATTCATAAGTTCTTAGAATTACTAATGTAGCTTTCTCCTGTTAATGCTGCAGTTTCTTGACCACTCCAAGAACAAGAAAACTAGCTTGCTGATTTGCAATTTCTTCTGAATGATAGAAATAAAATTAATTCAAATAAAACAATAATATAAAAAAAAAATAATAACTGATGTTAAAAATAAAACAAATAAACAATATTGTATCATTTATCTTGAACTTAAAAGTCTGATTTGTAAATGACTTTAATAAAGTTGACAATAATTACAATTCACTTACTTAATACAGTTTACACCAGAACAGACATTGTTCATGAAAACTGATGATATAAATAGCATCTAAACCACTATAGCAATGTAGTGTGGTTGACATATTCTTGTTTGCTTTTACTCATAAGTTCTTAGAATAATAGAAGTGGTCAAGGTAGAAAACAGAAAATTTAGGGTACGTTCTCTGGGAGACAGACAACAGCTGAGTATAGATTTTTCCAATGGGCCTTGTTATAAATACAGGTGTCAACAAAGTGATCTCAATGGACATGTAACTGCTCAAAAACAACAGCTGAGAAGAGACACAAAACCAAAGGTTTGAAATGAGTATAGGACTACAAACAGTGGAATGAGTAAAGCTGGAGAAGTGTCTGCTCTTTATAAATCAATCCAAGTTTGAGTTTTTTGGCAAATGTGATGAAACATTATCTTGGTCATAAAAGAGGAGAAGGAACACTCACAATCATAGCTTGGTCTACATAAAGTTCCGATTTGCTGAGACTATAAGGGCTTACAATAACTAAGAAAGTTAAAAGGCAACCAAACAACACGGCTGAAATGTGGGGAGGAGTAACACAGGACAATATTCCACAACTGCACATTGATAAACTGTTTGGCAGCATGAAAGAAAGGTATAATACTTTGTGTTAGACAAGGGGCTCACTAATACAGAATAATATTCCACAACTACACATTGATAAACTGTTTGGCAGCATGAAAGCAAGGCATAATACTTTGTGTAAAACAAGGGGCTCACTAATATGGGATAACATTCCACAACTACACATTGATAAACTGTTTGGCAGCATGAAAGCAAGGTATAATGCTTTGTGTAAAACAAGGGGCTCACTAATACAGGATAATATTCCACAACTGCACATTGATAAACTGTTTGGCAGCATGAAAGCAAGGTATAATACTTTGTGTAAAACAAGGGGCTCACTAATACAGGATAATATTCCACAACTGCACATTGATAAACT